TCTGTTGCCCCTGGATAATTGTGCCCTTGGGGTGCAGCTTTCAGGCTGGTGGCATATGCTCAGACTGACTTAAATCTGGCCTCTGTCTAGCATCAAGGTCCCACTCAGCATTCTTCTTCTTCTTTTTTTTCTTTTTGAGAAGGAGTTTTGCTCTTGTTGCTCAGGCTGTAGTGCAATGGTGTGATCTCGGCTCACCACAACCTCGGCTTCCTGGGTTCAAGTGATTCTCCCACCTCAGCCTCCCAAGTAGCTGGGATTACAGGCATGTGCCACCACACACAGCTACTTTTGTGTTTTTATTAGAGATGGGGTTTCTCCATGTTGGTCAGGCTGGTCTCGAACTCCTTACCTCAGGTGATCTACCAACCTCTGCCACTCAAAGTGCTGGGATTACAGGAGCAACCACCGTGCTCAGCCTCAACATTATACTTTAATTTCATTTTAACTTGTACAGATAACAATAACTGAGGAGTCAAAGTTTCTAGTTTCCTACCTTTTAATTTTCTCTTTATTAATTTAGTTTTGTCTCTCTGTGTGTATATATAGGTACATATATATATATAATTTTATTTATTTTTTTTTTTGTGATGGAGTCTTGCTCTGTCTCTCAGGCTGGAATGCAGTAGTGCAATTTTGGCTCACTGAAACCTCTGCCTCTTGGGTTCAAGCGATTCTCTTACCTCAGCCCTGTAAGTAGCTGAGATTACAGATGCATGCCACCATGCCCAACTAATTTTTGTATTTTTAGTAGAGTTGGGGTTTTGCCATGTTGGCCAGGCTGGTCTTGAACTTCTGACTTCAGGTGATCCACCCACCTTGGTCTCCTAAAGTGCTAGGATTACAGGTGTGAGCCACCACACCCACACCCGACTGTCTGTATCTTTTTTTTTATTTTTTATATTTTATTATTTTTTAATTACCTTTTTCTTTTTTTCCCTGACCAGGAATCGAACCCGTGCCATGGCAGTGAGAGTGTCAAATCCTAACCACTAGACCACCAGGGATTTTCTTTTTTTGAAATAGAGTCACTGTTGCCCCCCGGGGCTGGAGTGCCGATCATTCTTTTTGTGGCTATGTTTATGGTTTTATAACCCTTATGCCAAATTTTGATACTTTATAGTATTCCACAAGTATAAGTATAAAACTGCTTGATCAATAAATGCAAACAAAAATATTGACAATTCTTAAGACATTTCTAATATTACTTTACCAATAATATTATATTTGGCTTATCTATAGATGACTTTACTTAAGTCACATGAACTTGAAAAACATTTGGGATTACTGCTTACTTAATTTATGAATACTCCTTAACTTTAATCTAATTTGGTACTTTGTGGCTACAACACATAATAAAATACATGCATATATATATATGTATAAACACACACATACACACTCATACAAAGATCTCATAGTTTTTACTTCAGGACTCTAGCAATTACATATTAATACAAACTCATTGGTTTACAAAAAACTAAGAATAAACAAAAAGAAAACAGTTGGATCCAAACAGTGGTTTTTACCTCAGTAGAAAAGTAACAGCAGATTTAATGCAGGCAGAAAAAAATAGAGAAATAGACAACTTAGTAACTGTATAGTTGCAGGTTGACCTTTAGGCTCTGAATGTTTCCTGGATGTAATTTGCTCATCAGTTTAAAATGTGTACAGCAGACCATAATATGTAACCAGCTGGAGTACTAGAAAATCTGGAATGCCCTCAAACTTTTCCATTTTACCCACATATTTGCAAGTAGAGGCACCATAAAACCAGTAAGTTACAAAAAGAGGATCATTCTCCTTCTCTTTCTTTATTTTTATGTATTTATGTATTTATTTTGAGATGGAGTCTTGCTCTGTCACCCAAGCTATAGTGCAGTGGCATGATTTTAGCTCACTGCAACCTCCGCCTCTTATGTTCAAGTGATTCTCCTGCCTCAGCCTCCCAAGTTGCTGAGACTACAGGCATGTACCACCACACTCAGCTGATTTTTGAATAGTTAGTAGAGACGGGGTTTCACCATGTTGGTGAGGCTAATCTTGAACTCCTGACCTCAAGTGAACTTCCTGCCTCAGGCTCCTAAAGTGCTGGGATTACAGGTGTGAGCCACGATGCCCACCCTCTTTCTTCATTCTTAGATTGTTTCTCGCCTCTTTTTCTCAAAAGGAGGACCTGAGCTGTGGTCTAGAGTTGTGTGTGTGTGTGTGTGTGTGTATTGATGTGTGCTGATTGTGAATGGGGCTCCACAGTGTTTCACCACTGAGTCATTTCTGCCCTCTTAAATGTCTCAGTTTCTCTCACTAGAGGTCTACCACCACCAAGAAGGCTCAAAATGGCTAGTGATCAGCTCTTATATGCTGGACAAGGCCTTTTTAAGCCAATTTTGTTGGTTCCTTATAGGGCCACTTCATGTCATCGGGTGGGTCAACTCTCAGATACTCCCACTCAGCCCCCAGTCACCCAGGAGTGCCATTTGGCTGCAAAGAGCTAAATGCCCTTTCTCTTTGGAGCCAAAAAGCGCAGCCTTTCATTTGTCTATGCACATTACAGTTCAGTTCCTCATGCAAATGTGCAGACAAGCCAACTGACCTTAATTTTGGGAGGAAAAAACAATGGAGAAGATTCTTTGAAATGCACCTCTGAACTAGAAACCAAATGAGGTACCCAAAAGGGGAGGTGACTCTCTTTGTAGTTAGAAAAATCCAATGGACAAAACCCTTTAGAATGCACCTGGAAACTAGAAATAGAATGCTAAACGACAACTTCCCAGGAGAAAAAAACTCAGCCCAGACCCCTTCCTGAAAACTATCCTCAGCCATCCCCTAACTTTGTAGCTCTCACCTGCCATTACTCATGCCAAAGTCAAAGTCTCTCTCAGAACAAGGTAATTTCTGGTATTCCCAAAACCCAAAGAGATCAGTTAATGCAATACAAGAAAGCAGAACTTAAGCCTTAAGAATATGCTCATGACTCTTGCAACTTCACAAAGAAAGCTAAACACCACAGAAGTGGCATAAAGGGCACCTTTATTCTTAGTTCTTTAAGGTGTCTGAGTCATTAGAAGCCCGCTCTAGATTTTTGAGTTTGTATGGAAGATGGCAAACTTAGAAGGGGAATAGGACGAAAGAAAAGTAATTGAAAGAACATTTTATCTTTTTAAGAAAGGAAGTGAACAGAGAAACCAAGTACATGTTTTTTTTTTCCTATAGCTGTGAGAAATTTTACCCAATTCAGAAGGCTTGCTACTCACAATTTGGAATTCTCATTCTGATTTGAACAAGTTGGGTAGAGTTGGTGATATTCAATGAGAGAATAACCAAAACAAACAATGTGATTACTGAGTACTCTAATGGTAAGAAGTTAAAACCAGTTGGATGTCAGTTTTAACTTTTAATCATTAAGAAGAACTTTCAAGACAAAAACAAAGAACAAAACAACAACAAAACAGAAACAAAAACAAACAAACAAACAAAAAAACCCTACACTACTTATCTAGGAATGGGGCCTGTGCACAAGACTGCTCTGTACTATTTTAGAAGCAGAAAAAAGCTCAGACTCATCTTCCCTGTTAGAGGTAAGCTGAAACTCCAGAGAGAGTTGCCTGCTTTCCATTGTTACAGAATCAGGAAAATTTACCTTCTTTGTTGGAAACAAGTACAACTCCAGAAAAGGAGTCAAACAACAATATAAACTTCAGATTTTAATAAACTTTTGGGAGATCAGAGATTCTCCCTAAGAGTGAGTAAATTTTTCTATTGGTTTGAGCAAAAACAGTAGCTCAAACTGTTACTGAGCTTGGTTAGATTTGGCAAAGGTCAGGAGAACCTCTACTCAGAGTTCTTTCATGGTTACCAATTAGTAAAACAAAGATATCTGAGAGAAGACTGCATCAATTTAGAAGTTTATTTTGCCAAAGTTAAGAACATGCCCATGATACAGCCTCAGGAGGTCCTGACGACATGTGCACAAGGTGGTTGGGCTACAACTGGTTTTATACATTTTAGGGAGACATAAAACATTAATCAATACATGTAAAATGTACATTGGTTTTGTCTGGAAAGGTGGAACAACTGGAGTTCTGGGTTTTCAGGTGATAGGTGGATTAAAAGATTGTCTGGTTGGCAATTGGTTGAAAGAGTTATTATCTAAAGACCTGGAATTAACAGAAAGAAATGTCTGCATTATAGTAAGGGGTTGTAGAGAACAAGGCTTTATCATGTAGATGAAGCCACCAGGTAGCATACTTCATAGACAATAGATTTTAAATGGTTTTTATTAGACTTAAAGAGTCTGTTCTATCAGTCTTAAGGTCTCTGTATTGAAGTGAATGCTGGTTAGCTGTAAGGCATGTCTTACACACCTCCCTCACTTCCCGTTATTACTAAAACTAGTTTATCAGGTTAACTTTGGAATGCCTTCAACCAAGAAGAGGGGTCTGTTTAGATCGTTGGGGGGCTTATAATTTTTTTTGGTTTATACTTTTTGTTTTATTTTTTAATTTGTGTGGGGACATAGTAGGAATACATACATATATATATGTATGAGGAATACATACATATATATATGTATGAGGAATACATACATATATATATATATATGAGGTACATTAGATGTCTTCACACAAGCATTAAATGTAAAATAAGCATAGCATGAAGAATGGGGCATCCATTTTCTCAAGCACTTCCCTTTGAGATATAAACAATCCAATTACATTCATTAAGTTATTCAAAACTGTACAATTAACTTATTATTGGCTACAGTCACCCTGTTGTTATCAAATAGTCAGTTTTATCCATTTTTTTCTATTTTTTTTTTTTAGACAAATGGTTTTATTTGAAAAACAGAACCAGCTGGGCATCACCCTTCCCACAGACCTGACAGTGTCAGCCTCAGTTGTGGGAGAACCAGATTCCTGCATAGAGAAGAAATGGTTAGGGGTCAGAGGCCAGACCCAAGGGCTAGACCATGTGAGTGGTCACACTGGGGCAGAATCCACAGTGCCCATCAGGGTCTGGGTTTCACTGCTGCACATGGGGCAGTACACAGTGAGTTGAGGCCCCTGGGGGCTCTGGGTGCCATAGCGAAAGCTGGGGGTGATATTCAACCAATACCAGTGGCCCAAACCACTAATGGGTTGTGTGTGGCCAACACTGCTGGACCTACCTGGGCAGAAAGATCATTACTTTTATTTTTATTTTTTGGTACTCACTAACAATTCTCACCTCCACCCCCACTAGCCCTGCACTATAGTTTCCAGCCTCTAGTAACCATTATTCTACTCTCTATGTCCATGAGATCATTTTTTTAACTTTTAGATCCCACAAATAAGAACATGTGATGTTTGTCTTTATGTGCCTGGTTTTAGTTTTTTGAGGAATCTCCAAAATCTTCTTCATAGTGGTTGCACATTTACATTCTAAATATACATGATGTTGAGCACATTTTCTTTTACTTTTCCTTTTTTTTTTTTTTTTTTTTGAGATGGGTCTCACACTGTTACCCAGGCTGGTGGGCAGTGGTGAGATCTCAGGATCTCAGCTCACTGCAACCTCTGCCGCCCGGGTTCAAGTGATTCTCCTGCCTCAGCCTCGCGAGTAGCTGGGATTACAGGCACCTGCCACTGTTCCTGGCTAATTTTTCGTTTTGTATTTTTAGTAGAGACAGGGTTTCACCATTTTAGGCAGGCTAGTCTTGAACTCCTGACCTCGTGATCCACCCACCTCAGCCTCCCAAGTAGCTGGGAGTACAGGTGCATGCCACCCTGCCTAGCTAATTTTTGTATTTTTTGTAGAGATGGGGTCTTGCTGTGTTGCCCAGGCTGGTCTCAAATTCCAGAGCTCAAGTGATCCATCTTCTTCCATTCCGATTTAGATGCTTTGGTATCTTTCTCCTGTTTGATTGCTCTTACTAGGACTTCAAGTACTATATTGTGGTGAATATGGGCATTTTTGTCATGTTTAGATCTTAAAGGAAAGTCTTTCAGTTTTTCTCTATTCAGTAGGATACTAGTTATGGGTCTGTCATATATAGCTTTCATTATGTTGACATTTGTTTCTTCTATTTCTAGTTTTTTGAGGATTTTTATCATAAAGGGATGTTGAATTTTATTAAATATTTTCAGCATCAATTAAAATGATCTGATTGGATTGTTTTTTGTTTGTTTGTTTGTTTTTGAGACAGAGTTTTGCTCTTGTTACCCAGGCTGGAGTGCAATGGCGTGATCTTGGCTCACCACAACCTCCGCCTCCTGGGTTCAGGCAATTCTCCTGCCTCATCCTCCTGAGCAGCTGGGATCACAGGCATGCGCCACCATGCCCAGCTAATTTTTTGTATTTTTAGTAGAGACAGGGTTTCACCACGTTGACCAGGATGGTCTCGATCTGTTGACCTCGTGATCCACTCGCCTCGGCCTCCCAAAGTGCTGGGATTACAGGCTTGAGCCACTGCACCTGGCCCTGATTGGATTGTTTTTATTCTTCATTCTATTGATATGATGTATCACATTGATTGATTTGCATATACTAAACTCTCCTTGCATCCCAGGAATATATCGTACTGGTCATGATCAATTATTTTATAATTTATTGCTGAATTCAGTTTGTTAGTATTCTGTTGAGAATTTTTGCATAAATATTCATCAGAGATATTAGCCTGCAGTTTTCTTTTTATGATGTGTCTTTGTCTGTTTTTGGTATCAGGGTACCTCTGGCCTTGTAGAACGAGTTTGGAAGTTTTCCCTTGTGTTCTATTTTTAAAAAAATAGTTTGAGTAGAATTGGTATTAGTTCCTTAGAAGTTTGGCAGAATTTAGCAACAAAGCCATTGGCTCCTGAGCTTTTCTTTAGTGGGAGACTTGTTATTATGTCTTCAATCTTGTTACTTATTATTGGTCTTTCCAGATCTTGAATTTCTCCCTGTTTTAATCTTGGTAAGTTCTATGTGTCTAGGAATTTGTCTATGTCTTCTAGATTTTCCAATTTATTGAAATATAGTTGCTCATAATAATGACTAATGATCTTTTAAATAGCTGCAGTGTCAGTTGTAATGTCCCCTTTTTCATTTCTGATTTTATTTATTTGAATCTTCAGTTCTTACTCTGGCTAAAGTTTTGTCAATTTTGTTTAACTTTTCAAAAAACCAGCCTTGTAGTTTATTTATCTTCTGTATTGTTTTACCATTTCAACTGCATTTATTTCTGCTATGACCTTTATTATTCCTTTTCTTTTACTAACTTTGGTTTTTCTTTTTCTAGTTTTCTATCTCTTTAAAGGAATTGTTGCATAGTTTATTTGAAGTGTTTTTTAAATGTAGGCACTTTCAGCTATAAACATCCTTCTGAGTATTGCTTTTGCTGTATCCCATAAATTTGGATTTGTTCTGTTTCCATTATTATTAGTTTCCAAAAATTTTTTAATTTTCTACAGTAATTTTTCATTGACCCACCGGTCACTGAGAAGCATGTTGTTTAACTTCAATGTGTTTCAATAGTTTCCAAATTTTTTCTTGTTATTAATTTCTAGCTTTATTCCATTGTGATCAGAGGAGATGTGTGATATTATTTCCATTTTTGAATGTTTTAAACTTGGTTTGTGACTTAACATATGGCCTATCCTTGAGAATAATCCATGTGTTGAAGAAAAAAATTGTGTATTCTGTAGTAATTGAATGAAATGTTCTGTAAATATCTATTAGATGCACTTGGTCTATATTGCAGATTGAGGCTGATGTTTCCTTGTTTATTTTGTTGGAAGATCTGTCCAGTGCTGAAAGTGGGGTGTTGATGTATGCTGCTATTATTGTATTGGGGCCTATCTCTCTTTCTAGCTCTAATAATATTAATATTTGCTTTATTTATCTGGAAGATCCAGTGTTGGGTGCATATATATTTGAAATTGTCTTATGCTCTTGATGAATTGACCCCTTTATCATTATATAGTGACTTTTCTCTTCTTACAGTTTTTGTCTGGAAATCTATTTTGTCTGATACAAGTAAAGATACTACTGCTTTTTTTTTTGGTTTCCCTTCACATATAATATCTTTTTCCATCCCTTTATTTTAAGTCTATGTGCATGTTTTTAGGTAAAGTGTGTTACTTGCAGGAAACAGATAAGTGAGTTTTGTTCTTTTATTCCTTCAGCCTGTCTGAGTCTTTTGATCGTTGAGTTTAGTTTGTTTACATCCAATGTTATTCTTAATAAGTAAGAACTTAGTCCTGCCATTTTATTTGTTCTCTGTTTTCTAGTCTCTTATTTTTTTCCTTCCTATCTTCATTTAGTAAAGGTGATTTTCTTGGGTGAAATGATTTAGTTTCTTGCTTTTAATTTTTTTGTGTATTTTTTGTGTGTATCTTGGTTTGAACTTCTGATGAAGCTTGCAAATACTATTTTGTTACCATTATTTTAACCTGATAACAACTTGACGCCATTTACATAAACAAACAAGCAAAAACAAAATTAATAAAAAGTATCTTTAACTTTGTCCCCCCCTTTTCAATATTTTTGTTATTTCTATTTATCTTATTATACTGTCAATGGTTTCAAAACTGTAGTTGTTGTTTTCTATTGGTTTATTGTTCAGTCTTTTTAGTTAGGGTAAGAGTAATTTACACACCACAGTTACAGTGTTGTCATGTGATGTTTGGTTTTCTGTTTCCCTGTTAGTTCGTTGAGGATGATGGCTTCCAACTGCATCCGTGTTGCTGCAAAGGACATAATCTCATTTCCTTTTATAGAATTATTTCACAGTATGTATGTACCACATTTTCTCTATTCAGTCTATCATTGATAGGCATTTAAGTTGATTCCATGTCTTTGCTATTGTGAATAGTGCTGCAATGAATATACATGTCCATGTATACTTATAAGAGAATTATTTATATTCCTTTGGGTATATACTCAATAATGACATTGCTGGGTCAAATGGTATTTCTGCCTCTAGGTCTTTGAGGAATTGTCACACTGTCTTTCAACTGCCATAGGTGGTATCTCATTGTGGTTTTGATTTGCATTTCTCTAATCATCAATGATGTTGAGTTTTTTTATCATATGCCTGTTGGTAACATAAATGACTGCTTTTGGGAAGTGTCTGTTCATTTCATTTCCCACTTTTTAGTGGGAGCATTTGTTTTTCCTGTAAATTTGTTTATGTTCTTTGTAGACCTTTGACAGATGGGTAGATTACAAACATTTTCTCCCATTCTGTTCATTCTAATAACAGTTTATTTTATTGTGCAATATATTTAGTTTAATTAGATCCCATTTGTCAATTTTTGCTGTTGTTGCTATTGCTTTTGGCATTTTTGTTATAAAATCTTCATTCGTTCCTAGGTCCTGAATGGCATTGCCTAGGTTTTCTTCTAGGGTTATTATAGTTTTAGGTTTTACATTTAAGTCTTTAATCTATCTTGAGTTAATTTTTGTCTAAGAAAATGGGTCCAGTTTCAATTTTCTGCATATGGCTAGCCAGTTCTTCCAGCACTATTTATTAAATAAGGATTATTTTCCCTATTACTTGTTTATATTAGGTTTGTCAAAGATCAGATGGTTGTAGGTATGTGGTATTATTTCTGAGTTCTCTATTCTGTACTATTGGTCTAGATGTGTGTTTTTGTACCAGTACCATGCTGTTTGGATTACTGTAGCCTTGTAGTATAGTTTAAAGTGAGGTAGTGTGATTACTCAAGATTTTTTTTTTCTTAGGATTGTCTTGACTATTTGGGCTTTTTTAGGTTCCATATTAATTTTAAAGTAGTTTTTCCCCCTAATTTTGTGAAGATTGTCAGTGGTAGTTTAATGAGACTATTCAATTAATAGCATTGAATCTATAGATTGCTTTGGGCAGTCTTACCATTTTCATGATATTGAGTCTTCCTATCCATGAACATGAAATTTATTTCCATTCGTTTGTGTCCTCTCTGATTTTTTTGAGCAGTGGTTTTTGGTTCTCCTTGAAGATATCTTTTACTTTCCTTATTTCTAGATATTTTATTTTTTTGTAGCAATTGTGAATGGACGTTTATTCATGATTTGGCTCTCTGCTTTCCTGTTGTTGGTATATAGGAATGCTGTGAATTTTGAACATTGATTTTGTAACCTGAGACTTTGCTGAAG